AATACTGTTTCCATTTTAAAATACTAAGAATATGAAAAACTTTAATAAAGGATCAGCTGAGATTTTGATAAATACATTTTTGTGTTACCAAAAGAGTCTATAATCAGATTATGCTATCAGTTTTGGTTGGCATTTTTGTTCGTCCTATAGGTATAACTTAAATGAATACTCCTAAAAGTGCTTCTGGGTACATGTAGAATGTTTCTGTAAATTAAAGATTTTCTCCCTACTTTTTTCACTTAGTGTGCTTTGGAGAATGTTGTGCCCTGATTGTTTCATTAAAAAACTTTTAAAAGAATCCCAAATTCTAGGTTACATTTTAGACTTTTTGTTGTTTTGTTGTATTATTACTTGTTGACACATAAAGAAACTTAAAATGGCTATAAATATCATATAAAAATGAAATTTATGAAACGAGAACTTCTTTTTTAGTATAATAAAGGCATAAAACCATAAAAATATGACATTAATAATTGACATTTTAAGCGGCATTTTACAACGTTTACAACAACCAACAGTGATTATTTTACGCTATAAAATCATATGAGATTTAATTACAGGCCATGTAGTTGTAAATTTTACCTACTGCAAGTGATAGTATTTACATTCACTGTTTAGTTTAAAAATGACAAATAATTGTTTTGTTACCAAATGTAATGGTATTTTTGTGCTAAACTTAAGTTTGACGCGTAGCAGAGGCCTACAATTGAGCGAAGACACTTTTCAGCCGCAACGCATAAAAAATGCATAAAACGTATAATTGAGGAGCGTTTATTCAAAAAGGGACATGTCCATTTTAGCGATTTGCAGAAACAAGTCAAAAATAACAGAATTCTTTTGCTTTTGACTTATTTCTGAAAATCGCTAAAATGGACATGTCCCTTTTTGAATAAACGCTCCTCAATTATAATAATTATTATTAAAAGTAGATAGTGAGAGTTTTTTACAGACTAGGTACATCCTTTACCCACAGGCTGAAGTTGGCTGACAGTTGTCAAATGTCATACAATCGTCAAAATAAAGTTAATCTTAATACAAAATACTTCATTATAACATCGCTTTCGGTGGCGTAATGAGATACTTTATCCCACCCAAAATTTTGATTTTATAGGTTGGCTATACTTTAAACAGCATAATATTTTGCATATTGGTTATAATATTTTTATGATTTTTCTAGTACTTACGAGACTTTTCTGGCAATAAATTGTATTTAACACCAAAGAAAATCCTTTTTTTCTTCTTTAACATTAACAGCCGCTAATTGTAAATATGTAAATTAAGGACGGCATGGCGAATCGATTTTGACATTAACTGTCAAACCAATGACTGTGATACCAACTATCTAAAGTAAAATTCGACCAAATTAAATTTAAGGTATAAAATTATTTTTTTTGTAGAATTTTTTCAAAATAGATAAAATAGCATAAATAACTCATGTCATAAGACCTTTTGTCGCGTGCGACAAAATGACGTCTTATGACATTAGTTCTTTAATATACTATTATAATATTTGCATATACATTTGCCAAATAGGCATAACGAATTAATGTTAATTTTAAGTTGTTGTTTCCCTTTAAATTTTTTCGAATATTATAGTAATAATTTATTTATTGCCACCTTAAATTGGCAGGATGGAAACGTTAACGGAAGTCCCTAAAACTTGTTTTTACATTGGTTATTTTGTTTAGCCGTGGTATTTTTAAATTTTACAGCGTGTATCGTTTGCTTAGGAACAACACATAAAAGCTTGGAGATGCCACAATTTTGTTTTTATTATAAGTGGTTAGACATACAAAGGATGTTTAAGATTCTTTGGATTTTTCTTTGTTTTATAAAAATAAAAACCAAGTCATAAACTGATCCACCTACAGCATTTAATTCGGCAAATTAACATCAATTAGCAAATTTAAGTGACATATGTTTGTTGTTGTCGAATGCTATTGCATGAAGTAAAACGAAACTAGTTACATGTAATTAAGCAACATCTACTCGAGCTGATGTACGGGCTTTTATGGAATCATTGTCTACAATTGGGTACCGAGAAATTATCCCCACAAGACGGTAATCATAGCCATTAATGCCCTGGAAAAAATGATTCACAATGAACATTCTGAATTACTGTGATATACTTAGGCTCTGATTATTATTTTGTTCAGTTTTTTGTGTTTTCCTTGAGATTACACTCGCAGACAGTGCATCAATTAAGGAATTAATTGGAAAACTATTTTTAAGATTTAATGACAGGCAAGAATAAAATGGGTCATTGTGTACCCCCCAAGTAACAGATGTGACTCTTGGCTTTTACCTAAATATTATATCAAAGCTCACACTCTTTGAAAAGATGTTTGGGTTTTTTGTTTTTTTAAACCATAACGCATATTACACTTGTAAGTTTTAACTTTGCTTTATTATGGGATGTCCTTTATACCCTTATAAAACCATATTTATGTTTTATGGAAGCAGTTAAAACGAAAGTTCTGGAGGAAACTGTCCTAAGACTATTTGCTTGTACTGTAAGTACTTTTTACAGCTGATACTTTAATCTGCTTTATTATACTCCTGTGTGCTAGCTTCTCAGGAGTAGTTTGTCTCGATGGCAATAAATTAAAAGGCATTTTAGATTTAAAACCAAACTGCTTCAAGCGTCGTAATCGTAATAATACTTTCATTAAATCATTATGAAATATAGCGCGCGGGAGACCGAATAAGAAAATAAATTTTAGGTTATAATTATAACCTATATTCCTATGAGGTGCCTACTTCCCCCATAAAACCACTTTGTTTCCAGAAAAGAAATGTTGTTTTAAATTAATTTAATAAAATAAATAGGTATGCAAAAAATACTGTTCTTAAAGGCGTATGACTACCATTTTTAACATCATCCATATTTGTGTAATTAAAAATGCTTTGCTAAAATAATTCTAAAAAATAGCTCATGTTAATTAATAGTATATTAAAGAACTAATGTCATAAGACATCATTTTGTCGCACAAGGACAAAAGGTCTAGTGACATGAGTTCTTTATGCTATTTTATCTATTTTGCAAAAATTCTATAAAAAAATTAATTTTATACCTTATAATTAGGTCGAATTTTACTTTAGATAGTTGGTATCACAGTCATTGGTTTGAAGGGTTAATGTCAAAATCGATTCGCCATGGCGTCCTTAATTTACTTATTTACAATAAGCGGCTGTTAATGTTAAAGAAGAAAAAAAGGATTTTTCTATGACCACTATGTAAAAGTCACATTTCCTAATGGCATCGTTGCTTAGAAAATGAATCTTTTCATTGGCAAGGCAAAACACGAATGTAAAGTGACATTTCTGTGTGAAAAGTGACAGGTCTGTGACATTCGTTTCAAAATTTATATTGTATTTGTATAACTAATATGAATTAATTAAACTTAATATATATTAATATGGATGTTTTTTTAATCATTTAGGCAAAGAATTTTTAACAACACAACTCTTTTATAGAAAAGAATTTTAATTTTCTACCATGAAAACAAATGAACAATTACAATTAAATTGTTATTGTGGCTTCATCTAAGAGTTTTTACGTAAGTTGAAAACCAGGCAAACTCCCATTGAAGTAAATGCAAACTAAGGCACTTGGGCACATATTTTCACCTGAAACCTTACGTAAAACACTTAGATGAAGCCACAATGTAAATTTAATTGAAAATGTTGTTGCAAAATTAGCTTAAAATGTGGTGGAGGCATTAAAATATCAACCCAGGATAAAGAAATATTGCTTTTAAATATTATTATAAACTACATACAAGCATATTTAATTTAATGTTGTACTTCAGTCTTCATAAAATATTAAAGTCTTTCAAGAGGTAATAGTTTTAATATTATTCTAAAGCAATGCAATAAGGCCACCATAAAGTTCACTTCACTACTATTTAACTTTATGGAGGTGAAAGAGGAGGATTTTTAAAAGCTGTGACAACCTCATTAGGATTCTCCTTTTTGGTTTTAAGAAAGTCTTCTCATCAAGTTAATGTCCATTTTAATGGAGACTTCATAACAAGAGTAATTCGGACAATGGAAATTGTCTTAATAAAGAAAGTGATGTAAAAAAGAAGAAATAAATTTCTCCAACGGTTTCTAAAATCTTCATTCCTTCATCACTCCTTCATCTCCATCAAGTTACTGTCCGAATTTCTTTAATGAAGACTCCATTACAAGATGAATTCGAAGACCCCATTACAAGAAAAATTTGGGCAACAAACATTAACTTGATGTAAGGAAATGAAAGCTCCAACTGTTCCTGGCAGTTTCAGCTCACTTTTTGCATCAAGTTTATGTCCATTGTTCAAATTTCTGTAATGGAGACTCAACTACAAGATAAATTCAGACAATGGACATTAACTTGGTGGAGATAGTAATGTGAAACTGTTAGGGAAGGTTGAAGCAATACCTTTAGGAAAATGGACACCTGTATGATCTAAGTTTAAGACATTTCAAGACATTTATTTTTGAGTAAAACATCTCCCGACTTAACAAGAGAAATTCGGACAATGGACATTGTCTTCATAAAGAAAGTGATTTAAAAAAGAACCCAAAATAAATTTCTCCAACCGTTTCTAAAATCTTCATCTCACTCCTTCATCTCCATCAAGTTACTGTCCGAATTACTGTAATGAAGACTCCATTACAAGAGGAATTCGAAGACCCCATTACAAGAAAAATTTGGGCAACAAACATTAACTTGATGTAAGGAACGGTTGGAGCAATGAATTTGGAAAATGAAGGCTCCAACTGTTCCTGGCAGTTTCACCCCACTCTCTTCATCAAGTTTATGTCCATTGTTCAAATTTCTGTTCACTACAAGATAAATTCAGACAATGGACATTAACTTGGTGGAGAGAGTGATGTGAAACTTTCAAAGACGGTTGGAGCAATGCCTTTAGGAAAATTGACACCTGCAGGTATGATCTAAGTTTAAGACATTTCATGACATTTATTTTTGGGTAAAACATCTTCCGACTTACCGTCCATCTGAAGGTGAAGGGGAGCACTAGCCGCCCCCTTTCGGGGTCGCTCAGGGTGAAGGAGTCTCTGCCGAGAACCTGGCTGGCGTTACTCCCGAAGGAGCAGCTGCCGGTGCTGGTGACGTTGCTTTGGTATTCCTTGAGGCAGAGTCTGAAAAAAGTGTTGCACGACGTGGAACAGCGTCCGGTGACCGGCGAGCGGACGCCGTCGCCGCAGCAATCGCCGCTTTTCAATTCGCTGCGCGGATTCGCTATTTCCAGCACCTGCAGTTCGAAAATCCCCGAACCGTTTGCACACTGAAACAGACGAAATCAAAAAAGTATATTAGAAAACGTCAACTAAAGTCTATGTTATTTTTTTTAATTCTCCATTGTTAAAACTTAACTAAACTGCGCACCACTCAATGTGGCGCGACCAAAAAATTCGTTCTTTTTCAAAACGACATAACTTTTTTGTTTCTTGAACGATTTTATTTTGGTCTGTGATGTCTCCTAGCTCCATCCTCTGGCAATTCATGATATAGATATGAAGCTCAAGGTTCTTCAAGTAAATTTCCTACAGGGTGATATGTTAAACGTTGAAAATTTTCAATAACTTCATCCAAGCCCCGTTTGTAAAAAAATAATTTTTTCTCGTTTTTACTTTGAAATAATGAAGTATAATGTCTTACCTTGAAACGCTTTTCAAATTTTTCGAATTGGAATCGTAGCAACGAAAATATGATTTTTTTTCTAAAATCATCAAGGCTTTTTTGTAGGCAATTTAACAGCCGGGAATTGTTTTCGAATTTTGATTCTAAGTGATTTTGGTTTTATCTGAAACTTAAATTTGACAACTGAATCACAATCAGGAGGTCAAAATTATAAAGAAAACATGTCACGAACGTAAATATCGGTTCAGGATTGGTTTTCGCAAATTTTTACCAAAATGTCATTTTAAAAAAGTTGTCTTTGCTTAGGCCCCTCTAAAAATAATGGAAGTTTGTTGCTTGTCGCTTGTTCAGAATTATTCAAGGAACAATCTTTCACCATCTTATCTCCTTGTTCTTAAAAAGACGTATTGCCTACCAAAAAGCCTTAAATGTACTCTTTTTAAAACAAAAATCATATTTTCTTTGCTAAGATTCCAATACTAAAAAATTGAAAACCTTTTCAAGGTAAGACATAATACTTCATTATTTCAAAGTAAAAACGAAAAAAAATTATTTTTTTACAAACGGGGCTTGGATGAAGTTATTGAAATTTTTGACCGTTTTACATATCACCCTGTACGAAATTTACTTGAAGAACCGTGAGCTTCATATCTATAGCATGAATAGCCAGACGATGGGGCTAGCAAAAATCACAGACCAAAATAAAATCGTTTAAGAAACAAAAAAGGTATGTCGTTTTGAAAAAGGACGAACTTTTTGGTCGCAACACATTGAGTGGTGCGCAGTTTATATTACCCACAATAATAAAAAAAAAACATATTAAAAATAAAAAAATCCTATTTTGGTTTAAACATGGTAAAACGGTAGAAATAGAAATGTTTTGGAAAATTATTTATGTAAAGTACCTATGTGGACAAAATATACCTACTATTGAAAAATTAAGAAAAAAAATTGTGAAATGCTTCAACAATAAGTTAGCCTATAAAAATGATATTTTTTATATATTAAAATAATAATAATACAGACTCACAACTAACATTTTTAGTTTGACACAGGATTTAAAAAAAAATCAAAAATTTATAAAATTTATTAATAATAGCGATGTTGTGATCATATTTTTGTTGACGTTTTATTATTTATTTTTTTTATTTACTTATTTGACATTCAAAGATTCTTTCGAGCCCCCGGTATAAATTCAACCAAAATAATATACAATAATATATATAATATGTATATTATATTTTTAAATGTTTTTTTATTAAAAATTACACAAAATTAACCAAATTTTTTTAATAAAATGTTTTTTAAATACCCTTATTTTTTAAATTTAAGTTAAAAATAATAATAATAAACTAAATATTATAACATTTCTACTTTAAATAAGCATTATTATAATTTTTTTAGTGGTACCAATGAACCAATGTTGGTAAGCACTAATTTATCAAATATTTTTCTATAAAAATGACATAAAATACAATAAAATAATGGTAAATACTGAATATGTACTCATTAAATTTTAAGATAGCAACAATATAATAATAGTAAATTCTAAACTATACTACATTTTCTATAGTAGAGTATTAAAATAAATAAATAAGTAGAAAATATATACCATAGTAAGTTTAAAAGCAACTATGATAAATTTGGAAAAAGTTAGTTTGGTTAGATTGGTCCAAACTCTTTTTGACACATTGAAATCGGTGTACCTCGGTAATAGAATAAATATTCCGTACACATTATAGTATGTAATATTAAATTCTGTAGAAGAAGTGGAAAAAATGTATTATTATAATAAAATATGGTATAAAATATATTTTATACCATATTTTAATGTTTCCTAAGCGTGCTATACTGGTAAACCATTTTAGCAACCTATAATTTCTGTAAAAACACAAAAATACGTTTCCCTAAAAACCACTCTCGAACCGACCAACTAATCAATGTGTTTCATGTTTTAAGTGCTAGCCTATTAATAACTAAACAAAAAGCAACCTGTTTTACCGAATAACCGGCCGAGAACGGCGCTGAGCCGAGCCGACTATGTTATTCCAAACTTATTTTATTTTACTCAATTACATAGAACCGATATTTAATAATACACCTATTATCCGTAACAATGATGTTGATGCATGAGAACTAGTACAATCAATATATCAATCTTTTACAATACGTTGTTAAATTTTTTCCGTAAAGTTTCATAAAGCACAATCGAATTACTTTGCAATTGCATTTTATATTGTCAGCGATGGTTATTAATCTATTTAGAATTTGGTTGTAATAGGTAATTTTCTACTCCACTGGAGGTACCTATTATTCGGTGGTAAAACCCAACAATAGACCGATTTTTCTCGTTATTAAGACGTAACAATGTTTTATGGCATCTAAAATGAATCTGTTGGGTTTATTTTTGTCGTTTTTTTTTAAACGCTATTTCGTTTCGCTCGGCAAACTGGCCAGTGATTTCACTGCCTAGCACGCAATACTCTGTCCAGCTGTGTTGGTAGACAAACTGGATTTTAAATAAATATAAAAGCACTATGACCTTCTTTCACGCAACATGTTTTTATAAAGACCAACCTAAATTTTGATTTATTACTATTTTGCCCGAAATAAAAATACCGAGAAAAATTACCAAATGTTAACTGATAGATTGTGGTACGACTTATTTTGTTTGTTTACATTTACATGAGAAAATTTGCTTATCTCTGCACTAATAAATATAAAAACGTAATACCTTCAAAAGCAAATATTTAAACACCAAGCTCAGTAAAAATGTGTATAAAACTGATTTTTTAAATTCTCACGATTCCGTACGTTTATCACAGATTATTATTATCTCCTAATAAAAAGAATATGGTAATCACAATTACCATTAGACGTTAATTATCATAAAATAAAAATGCATAATACAGCACATTATTTTTTTTCTTTTTATATTTTAAATGCATTGATATTGTTTTAATCTTTAAATCATTAAAAATTATACTTTATAATAAAAGTTTTTTTATTTTTTACAGTGGAATTTAATTTTAATTCAACATTATAATAGTAGATTATGTATCAAGTTTAATAAACGCCATTTTGGTCTCGAAATAAATTTTGGCGAGCGAGTGCTTAAATTAATGAGTGTATAGAAAAGTTTATAAACGAGGTGCATACTATACTTTTTCTACGACAAATACCTAATATTATCTAAAAAATGATTAAAAAACATATTAAACATAAACATTTTCAATATTTTAAAAATTAAAACAACTTTAAAATATGATTATGTTAAAAAAATATTTTATCCTTTGATTTTTTTATTACTATAATTGCATAATACAAAAATGTTAAAGGTACAAAAAGTGACATTTGCATTTATTGGAATTCTCGTTAGAATTTCCAACTTTCTAACTAAAGTTTTCTGTGTAAATCAAAATTTATCCCTTAAAAATAGACTAACAATTGATATAGAAGCAGTTTTTCTCTCAGTAAAAGTGAAGAGAATGTTTTATGGGCACGCAATTTTTAACGCTCTATCAGTTAAATCTAGTTAACTGTAGAGCGACGAAATCAAAAAGGCAATACAAAAGTTTATATAATATTTTTAAATATTGGCGTCAATAAACTATTTAATACTTTTGTATTTTATTAACAAAATAATTTTCACATTTAGTATTATTTTACAAGAAAGACACTTTATTTCAACAAATGTATGACATTTGACAACTGTCAACTAACTTCAGCCTGTGACTAAAAACCTGTTGCTAACTTTAGCCCGTGACTAAAGGGCCCTGAAGTCACAACAGAATATTTTTTATAATTTTTTTAGAAGAAAAAGTACAGAAAACTTTTCAAGACAATAATTTTATTAAACTAAAATGGCGTTGATACATAATTTACCATTAATTCTTGTCAAAATACTAAAAGGAATTCAAATTAAAAATGGTCACAGGATGTATTGTTAGACTCTTAATTAATTAAAATAAATGCAGAGTCGTTTAAAAAAATGTTAAACTTTTCATTATAATAGTATAATTTTTCTCATTATGGTTTAAATGGTTTAGATTTAAAATTCACTGTTATCTACTTAATTCAATCTAGATATCCAAACTAGCATCTAAAACAATACAATGTTTTTACCACCTGCTACCTTAAAAGTAGGTATTTAATTTTTCATGCGCCTTCAGTAAATTCTCATGGAGTTATACCTACATATATATTATTTAAAACAAAACAATACGAAACAGAAAATTATTTAAAATTTTATGGAGGAAGTCCTAAGCCATTTAATATGTAAGCATTGACCAAGTATACACTAACAAGTATAATTTTGATTAATTTCTGGGAAAATTCGGGTCCAACACTACTAAAAATTCAATGATATCAATCTTTATGGCGCTTTAAATTTCTACATATCTATGCTTAAGAAGGCACCTTTTCTAGTTTTTAAGCCCAATTTAAAAGTTAATTTTACAATTTTTATGATATATGTCATATATATCTCTACAAGGTGTCCCTAAAATTCCAGTACAATTTAATACCACATATTCCTGGGACCAAAAAAGTGTCAAAGTTCGTTTTCAATTTTGTTAGGTTAAAGTAGATAGTTATTGTTATTGGACAATAATTATTAACATTAATACTGTAAAAACAAGAGTTCTATAAACAGTTACCTTAAAGTCAAATCATTAGATGAAGCTGTATACAATTATAAATATCTCAGTCGGTAATAATACAGAAGTACTTTATTTTGGGTCCAATATAGAACAAAAAAGTTTACGTTACTTTGGTGGTAAGATTTTTGTTTTTTGTTAAGAGCAGGGCTGTGTTTAAATTACAACAAAAAATATTTCTAAAAAGAGTACAGATCAGTGCACATTTTTTACCAAGTTTAAACAAACAAACTATCCTTTTTACATATTTATAAGAAAAAACTAAAATCTTTAAAACAACGGCATATATAAATTTTAAATAACTCCAATAACTATGTTTTTACACAAAATTTGACATTCGGGGGTTTTTAGGACGAACAAATGTCATTAAAAAGAAAATATTTACTTATTTATTTATAAAATACGAAATAACGTTTGTTTTAAAATAAAATACCATTTTAAACATACCCACTAAAATGATGTTAAATTAAGTACCGTACCGTGGTTTGTTTACTGACATCGCATTCGATTAGGTACAGTTATACAAAAAATCGTAAAAATATAATTGAATTTCAATTAAAATTCGTAATGTGATTTTAACCAGTGGTTTTGCTATTAAGTCACATGCAACCCGTAATTAGCTATAGGCGGTTATGGCGATATTAATTTACGGTCGGTAAATTTAAGTAATTTTTATTTTAAAACCATTCACACACTATTGTACGCTTTTTACGTCGTCTCCTCACTAATAATGGCTTTTCAAATTTAGGTGTTAGAAGATTTACAAATCATTAGCATACAAGATTTAAAACCATAAAATTCCTTTGAATCATAATAAATAATCTTATACTGCAAATTAAATGATTCTCCTGTTGAATTGTTTATCGAAGTGTTTATTAAGTATTATAACATAACAACAACAATCAGACTTAATTGATTGGTTGTGACCTTTTTTACAACAATAAATTTTATTGAACAATCGTGCCGAAAAAGCAGAGAGAAAGTGTTACGACATAAAGTTTAAAGGCTTTGTCACCGATACTTCAAAAGCTTTTAATAAGCTTTACAAATTAAATTAGTTTTGTTTCGTTAAATGCAAACAGCTTACGGTTAGTTTGCGTCCTGAATAAAAGATAAAATGGTAATTTTTTTCTTAAGGAGGTTAAATCAGTACATTGCGAGAAAAGGGGTAAAATTCTATTTGAATTAGTACCAGCATTTTTTACTAATAAAATAGTCGTTTTCACTTTTAAATAGTTATTGTTTACAACGTAAATATTTAAAGTTTAACTAATTTAAGATTAGTCACCATCTTTGACTATTTCTGAGAGTTAAAAGTAACTAATTTCTTTAATGTTTGCGGCCAACAACAAAGTATTATTTGAATTAAATGCATATACCT